GTCTACAATAATACAATAGTTTAAAGGGACATGTCTACAATAATACAATAGTTTAAAGGGACACGTCTACAATAATACAATAGTTTAAAGGGACATGTCTACAATAATACAATAGTTTAAAGGGACATGTCTATAATAATACTATAGCTTAAATGTTTAAGTTTCAAGTGTCCCTCCGGTCTAAATCACAACAGTACCTTTAAACTTTTGTTTGAGATTTTAGTTTATAATTTTCTCTTTATGTAGCAGAGACAAAAAAGACAATGCAAAGAATTTTACTCTTTTCAAGATAGAAAAAATACCGATATAATCCTAATATGTTTACAGGGTACCTATGTGAATCAGGCGTGTAATTATTTTTAAATGCGGGGTGAAATGAAATATCGTCGAAAGATAATAATTTGACGTAAAAACACAAAAAGAAATTCAATAACCGTGACGAACAAGATTTTAAATATAAAGATAATTTAATATGTTAGTGTTTTCGTTATAAATAAGTTCGATCACTGACTTTCTAGATGTAAAAAGAAATCTTTTTTAAGAATTTAAATTTAGAAATTTACAAGTAACATAAAGTAAAGCTTTCAAGATTCCAAGGATTAGAAAAAATCCAAGAAAAAATATTTTTTTTAGTCTTCAAAAGCAATAGTTAAATAGAAATTTATAACTTTAATAAACTTCTTGGTATTAACTAAAATATATAGTAAAGATAAAAATAAAATACTCGATAAAAATTTAGTTTAAAGGGACAGTCAGATTAATCTAATAAAACCTTGGAATTCAAAAATGCCATTAACGATTGGCAAGCGTACATATTTTTGTTTTAAAATTGAAGGCACTCTTTTCTTAAATTATATTTCTCCCAAAAAGACTAAATATAAATATACTTTAAAAAACTTCAATCAAGTTTTAGCGTTTCTTGATTGAAGAATAACTTGGAAATACGATCACAATATCTTTAAGTTTTTGCATGAAAAATATGGAGATTTTTCGCTCACCTTGCTTTGTCTGATTAGCTGTGCCGAAACTTTCAACATCACTGAAAATATTCAAATTTAAAATTTTTTTTTTCATTTATACCTCGCAATTGTTTAGTAATACAAAAATAAATCCAAATAGTATCCATCTCATGAAACCCTAGAAAAAATTAATTACACCGTCAAGAAACAGAACGTTAAATAAAAAAACCTAAATTTTAATAAATTTTTTTTTTCTGGTTATATTTACATCAGAGCTAGGTTGAAAAGACTAAAAAGAAATTGATCTCATAAAAATTCATAACACAGACGGAAAAATATTTTGCAAAAATTCAAAGGGATATTTGCAAAAATAGTAACACAGAGATAAAAAGTGACTAGGTGTAGAGGCCAAAGGAGAGCTGCTAGTTTTACGAAGCCTCCTCCCCGAATGATCAATATTAATCTTCGCTTACATTAGGGGTTAACCTTTATTGATAAAAGGGCACCTTGCGATTAGCGGGGAAAAATATGCCGAGTGTCTCTGAAAAAAGTGTGTTCAGGTTTGTAAGCCTACTACAGTGATCACCAGAAAACGGAGACGACTTTTAAACTCAAATTATGACTCTAAATAGTACAATAAACATTAGACACATCAATTGTGAAGTGTAAACAGACCCATTTTACTTAATTAGTAATTTATTGAGTTCGTAGTAAAACTATTTGCTTTGCAACAACCTCAAAAGCACTTAAGTACTGCTAAAATGTCGTCTTCCTATTACATTGCTGTCCGATCACCACTGTAAAAATCGATGAAATGTGTAAAAAATTTAATCTTGTCAGTATCATACCAACAAATGAGGGGTCGTCGATGAAACTGTTTTCTCTAAAATACCGTTTTAACCTTTAAACGGGGACCTAATATTCGAAAATGTGCTCTGTCTCTTTTCCAAAGATTTTCAAAAAAGTTACAATTTTATTTTTACGTTTTATACGACAGTATTGAATAAATTGCACATTTTCAATGATAGAATTGAGGATCTTTAAAACTAAATGACGGAAAAAGATTTGATTTTTTTTAAAGAGTCCGACGACATTTCGATTACATTTTGAAGACTAAAACGGCATTTTAGACGACGTTTTGAGGGTGAAAACAATTAATATCCTCGGAAATGGGATCGAGTACATTTTCTAATATTAGGCCTAATTTTAAGGTTAAAACGGCATTTTAGGGAATAAAAATTCATCGACGACCTCCCATATATGGGAATTGTAACAATAAGTAGCACTTTTTAACAAAATACAAGGATATTTTTCAAATCAGACTTTTAGGGACGTCCCACTTCCACAATACCATTTCGAAATAAGCATACTAAACCGGATTGGATTGAGGGAAAAAACATAAAGGATGTATTTGATATATTTTCCATAAATCCAGATTAAAATGAATTAGCCTAAAACATTTACTTTTAAACATTGCATTTTTATTTTAGAACATTTTGATAACAATGGCTGAATATAATAAGAAATGGTTCTTATTTCTCTTAGATAATGGAGCTATAATGGTAAATAGGAAGCCAAAAAAAGGGTTCACAACGGTTTTAATGGATAGTGCAAAATTAAAATAGCAGTATCAAATAAGAGGGAGGGGGGTGTCTGACACATTCCAAAGGAGAGCTGCTAGTTTTACGAAGCCTCCTCCCCGAATGATCAATATTAATCTTCGCTTACATTAGGGGTTAACCTTTATTGATAAAAGGACACCTTGCGATTAGCGGGGAAACATATGTGCTTTTAACTTCATAATATGTTTTTTACATATTTTGAAAAAATTCAAATTAATATGATCTTAAACAAAACCAGAATGAAAAGCTAGTATTTTTAATTATATAGGACCTAAATTGGAGCATGATTGAGAGAAGAAAGATAGAGCCAAGATATAACAAAAGATCAATCCAAGTCGATCCAAGATTGGGCCAAGATCATACCAAGATTGAGTCAAGATCGAACCAAGATTGAGCTAAGATAAAACCAAGATCGAGCCAAGATCAAGCCAAGATTGGATAGATCTGAGTGAAGAGTATTTAAGAATCTGAAGACTCTAATCTTGACTAAAGATTGGCATCTCTCCGGGTTTGAGGATATCTAATTTATCCTTCAAGCCAACATGAAAAAAAACAAGAATAATAAGATTCATCAAATAGAAAACATCAAACAAATGGAAACATAAATCCTATTATCAGTATACAGGGTTACCCGCAAAGAATGAGATTTCAATGACGACCTACATCTGAAGGAATTAGAACGATCTGAAGGCCTCACTACGTTTTTTGCTTTTTATTAACTCTATACTAATTTGTTTGACAAAGAATGTTGCAGGGAACCAAGAATGTTGCAGGGAACCAAGAATGTTGCAGGGAACCAAGAATGTTGCAGGGAACCAAGAATTTTGCAGGGAACCAAGAATGTTGCAGGGAACCAAGAATGTTGCAGGGAACCAAGAATGTAAAAAAAAACATAAAAGATTCTCATCTCTAAATTTTCTGTTTTGTGGGCAACACAGTATGTATGTATATGTGTTCGAACAAGTGTGTGCACTTTTCCAAGCAATAATTAATAAAACTTATATAATTAAAAATAAGACATAATATTTAATATTATAACGCTACTAAAAGCGACCGTGATATAAGTCAATATTTAATATTAACCTCATATAATGATCTTTTGATAAAAATTCAAGTACAAATACAATAAAAGAGACGAGATAAACAAATTAATTATTTTTTTCTCTAAATCTTACTTGGATTCTCAAGTCTGAAATGGGGTTCAGGTTGGGGGTGTTTCTGTAGAAATATTTCCTAAATAAAATCTCAATATTATTTGTTTAATATTGGTACACTTTTTTATCATTTCATGTCATTTCATGTCATTTCATGTCATTTCATGTCATTTCATGTCATTTCATGTCATTTCATGTAATTTCATGTAATTTCATGTCATTTCATGTTGTTACGGTACATACCTGTCCGACATGCTCCGTGAGTATCTCGTACAGCACGTTGTACACGGGTAGAGTAAGATGGGTGTCATGTACAAGAAGTTTCTCAACAAGTAAACTGTACAAGTTATGGGGATTCATCACGTCATACCTAGATAGAAATATAGAAATAGATAGATACAAAATTGAAAGATAGATAAACCAAATACATATAATAAAGCTCTTCGCTCATATATATATATATATTTATGTGTTAGCTGTAGCTGGCCAAACCGCTGGACCAATTGGCTGGTTTCTTTAGGAAACCCATGTTAATGACACAGACTGAAAGTTTATCTGGAAATTTTTTAAGTCATGAATTAATACCAAGCGCGGGTAAACGGCGGCGGAAGTAACTATGACTATTATTAACAATGTAAATCTGAGCGAAGCCGGGTACTCCAGCTAGTAGTTATCATTTATGGTTTAAATTAAACGTGATTCTATAATATGAATTAATCCAACAAACAAAAAAACCACCATGCACATTGCACATTGCACAATAAAACGTAGCCAAACAAAAACATTATTTCTCAATGCCCGAATTAAATTTTAAAACTTCTTACTTCCTTTTATGAGTTGACCTAGAGAGGAAAAATCCCAACAGCTTCAAGGCCTGAAGCCTGATAACCTAGATAACATTCAAGTATTAAAAATGAATAAAGGAATGAATTGGTGAATGAATTAATAAAAAAATTCATGTGGATCAAATTAAAGAATGTAAGAAATAATTCATTATGTTTAGAATTAACGAATGTAAGAATGAATTAATGAATGGGGCATTCAATAGATGTATCAATAAATAAATTACTGAATGTATTTAAGGATAAATAGATGAATGAATGAATGAAAGGATGAATAAATGAATGAATGAATGAATGATAATTATGATACCTGGGACTGTGACTCTAAAAGCTTGAAAACAGTTTTAACACCACCCTAAAATAATATAAGTTCATTCAAATCTTTAATTCAAAAATATCTATATATATATATAAAGTAGAAAACTCTTTCTGTTTGTCTGGCTGATCATAACTCAGGAATCCCTTGACCAATTTGCCTCAAATTTTTATTGGGGCACTCGGAAAAACCGCCACAACCTTTCTTTCCTGGGTTTCATGAGTTTTACAGCAAAAACCTTTTTTTCCAGACAAAGCTGGGTTCTCAAACTAGTATTTATATAAGCTTGGAAAGTCTGTAAAATATATTTAAATATAAACGAAACATTGAAACCCCACCCCCCCCCCCC